CGTGCGTATACCGGCACCAACGTTTCCATAATCAACGATGTCCCAAATTGGGCATACTGTCCAGACTAAGCTGGTGTTATAATCAAGAGCAGGATTGCTTTACTTTCATTAGCAAAAAAGTAAGAATTTAGTTTCATTCGCTATTATTGGCGTTTCAACGCCCATCTGTTAGCAGTGTAACCCCAAATAGAACAGATGCCGCAAACGTATGCGATTTATAAACGATAACGGCGCGCCTGAGATGATCTTTGAGCCTAAACATGCACGTTCAGTCGCGCACCCCAAGAGGCTTTGCGCCATAACCCACAACAGGAACAACATCAGTTGCGCATCTACGACCTTGCACGCGAGAAGTCAACAAACGGTTTGGACGGCCCGCCCAGCCTGAGGAACGCGTGGGGAACGTCTGCCTGTGAGGTTAGACTGGACAGAGGTATGTATGAGGTGACCGGGGACTATTTGGTGCCTCCCCTAATAGGCATGCTGAGATGTTACCAAAGATTGCTCTATGTCCAGGCAAGGTCGCAATCACTCATCGAAAAATAAATGAAAAGAGCTGTGAATGGTCTTAAAGTAAAGCAAAGTTAATCGGGTCAAAGTTGGTGGGTCTTCCATCCCCCTTTGGCATGCCTCTGTTTCAGGGTCTGTCCTGATGATGCCTATCCTTAACTCTTAAGCTTCACAGGCTGCAATTTTACCTTACATCTAGGTGTGCTGTGGCATGGTCCTGTTTAAGTACCCAACTCCCTGGGGCTCATCAATGCACCTGGTCCCAGTCTACAAAAATCCATCCACCATGGAATGCTTACAGAAATTGGTGGTGGACATGTGCCTGACTCAATGCTCCTGGATATATGCTGTGCTATGCTCAACTTGTGACTGAGATATTGCGGCTGTGTCAGACCTGTTCATTATAATGTGCTATGGTTACAGTCTGGCCTTGGCCTTCTCATCACATTGTTACTGTGATTTGGACAATGTACCTTGCTACTATGTACTATGCTACCTTGCTACAAGGACAATGTACCTTGCTACTATGTACTATGCTACCTTGCTACAAGGACAATGTACCTTGCTACTATGTACTATGCTACCTTGCTACAAGGACAATGCACCTTGTACAACCCTGCTTACTATGGCAGGGAATTTGAGAAGATCCCTGAGATATCCCCAATATCTTGTCCTTCAGGCAGCATCACACCAACCTTTTTATTTAGCAGTTCAGTGGAAAAGTATAACAGCTCTTTTGTTAATTTGTCAGCTCATAGCTGACAATAGAATATAATTTGTCAGCTCATAGGTAATTATGACTGGCTGTCATGGGCTGGTGTGCACAGCACACAAAAGAACTACCAAAGTAGACACAGATCCACACAATTAATATGAACATAATGATACCATAGAAATGACTAGGAGGAAACCAAACCCACTAACTTCCTAATTGACACCCCATTGTTAAGTGGAGGTCAGCTGTGTTACTGCAGCATAAGACTCAATGTGTTTTCACTTGCAGGTGCACATTGTGTCACAGCCAAGGTTGAAGAGCCAAACATGTCACCCACTAGAGTGCTGCATGTGAACACTCCACTCGTCATGGAATGTTCAGTGGAGGAGTTATCAGAGGTGCAGCTTCAGCATTTTAACACAGCAAAGAAGACATATCAAGATGCTATCAAGAAGGCAAACCGTGAGTGTGCTAGGCGCAGGATGATAATGTGTCTATATGTGCTACTGGTGTTTATAAGCATGGTACATTATTCTTCATTCCACCTGTCAGGTGCATTTTTGCAGAATTTGGAATTTCTACATGGTGTGTACCAGCTGAGCATGCAAACATTTTGGGCATAAAATGGCCACTGCCATTGATGCACCCCTAGGCCCAAATGACAACACCAGTCAAACATTCAACAGTCCCTAATTCTGTGCACCTGCATTGTATATGGCTTCTGTTTATGATTTTGTGATCTGATATCCTCTCTCACTCTGCCTAATGTATTTTGGTCTCTTTAACCTTACATACCAGCAAGCTCACGCTCGCCCACACCAGAAGCAGACTCGGCTTGCTCTGCTGCGTCTGTTTCGGCGACAGCTGACGTGCTGCGGTGTTGGCAGGCCTGTTGCTCTCCCAGCCGACGCCCGCAGTGGTACCGCCGCCGCCGTCGCCGCCGCCGCCGCCGCCGGCTGCCGTTGATTCCAGCGGTGACGAGGCAATGCCGTCGGCACCGTCGCCTTCACCGCCGTCACCGGTGCCGCTGCCTGTGATGGCGACGGCGCAGGTGCCGCGTCCCGTGCCGTCACGCGCCTTGCCTCTCGCCGAGAGTAGCCCCTTCACAGGCGCTGTGAGCAATGCAAAATGTGGAGGAAGGGTTGGGTATCTGAGGCGTATGTAATCTGTGGGGTTGGTAATTTTGGCATGCTTTCAAGCTAAAGAGCGCAGGGTAGATTGCATCTAATGTTTTGCTTATGTTTACTATAAATTATGTTACTTATTTCGGGCCGGATAACCAGTTATATACAAGAGACGTGTGGTGAGGGAGGTACGAGTGTTGAGGCTTCAAGACATATGTCGATGGACGACGCTCAGTCGGGCTGTCGGCGTACACGTTCCACGCGGTAGCGCGGCGACGTCTCTTCACATTGCGCCCTGTCGTACTAGCAGCGCCTGTTGCCCTGGCAGAACCTGTCGTCGGAGATCCCGCCGCCGCAACGAATCTCGCTGTCCACGCCGCAGCCGCTGGAGAAGCGCGTGGCGGTCCGCACCGCGTCGATACCGACATCGGCTCCCGAGCAGCCAGCAGCAGGTAGTGGACCGAGGGGCGGCCTGTAAGCGGACGTATGGTGGAGTTAACTGATGTCGGATGTTAATGCCTCGTAACGGTCGTCCATGGGTTTTCACTTTCTTCTTCGCTGGCAAGCGTAGCAAGGACGCGCGAACAGATCTTGATTAGGTGAAGAATGTATCAGAACTGAAGATCGTTGCGTTCCCCGCAATCTTTTTTGTCACTGGGCATGTTTTGGTGTGTGTATTTTCTAAGCTACCAAAGATCATGCGGACAAAAATCGCCTACAGACTCATGTGAGGCGCCCTGGGATTACAGCACGTCAGCGGGAGCAGACGCTGACGTGAATCGAATCACGCCGTGTGCTGAGCCGCTGTTGCGCCCCGGTCGCTCCCGTCGGCCATCGCCAACCCCTGACGGCGGCGTCCGTGCCGCCCCGCTAACATTGCGCCGGCCGCCGGCAGCCTCACAGCCGGACGCCGAGGTGACAATCGCGGAGGAGGTACCCGCGGCGTCGGCCCGGCGCGCGTCCGTCGACATTCCCGTCCATCGAGATGCAGGTGAAGACGTACCCGGCGCTGCACGTGCAGCTCCGCACCCTACTCGCTCACGCCGGCCTCCAAGACCAACTACCCGTCTCGGCGCTCCCAGCTCGGTGAGGGCTGAGTCTGGTCCGAGAGCGGTGCCACGCCGGAGTAGACAATCTGCCGGTCATCGGTGAGGTGGCGAGGGCTGATTCTGGTCCGAGAGCGGTGCCACGCCGGAGTAGACAATCTGCCGGTCATCGGTGAGGCGGCGAGGGCTGAGTCTGGTCCGAGAGCGGTGCCACGCCGGGGCAGACGATCTGCCGGTCATTCGGCCGTTTGTGTGTTGTGTTTTGCTGGACATTAGATCGTCTTTTCCGTCTTATTAAAGGTAAAAACGTTTCTTGTGATAAATGGGTAAACGCTGTGTCGGTACGTTTGCAAAATGGACTAGTTGTGAAGTTAGGCGTTTGTTTCCGCAACCTTCACTCTCTGCTGGAATATGAGCTCATCGCTCCACGCTGCAGCGTCCAAACAGGTCTGCACCATCCGCGCGCGGCCCGCGGCTTTAAGACTAACCTGCTTTTTAACCGCGCCGGAGACTGGCCACCACTGTGCGCGCACCTGAGCGGCGCCGCCCTGTGTTGCCAGACATCCGCGTGAAGCGCGTGCTGCTGCACACGCCGAGCCAGTTCACGGAGTGGCTGATCCAGGTGCGGCTGGTGCGCGCCGTCCAGTTCTGCCCCACCCACCGGGTCACGTGGTCCGGTCAGCCCCGCCAGCTGCGGCTCGGCATGTTTACCGACTCGGACAAGCTCTCGCAGTCAGGAGGTAGGCGTCCGTGCGCCGGGCGCGGACCACGCGCCGGTGTGCCGCTGTCCGAGTGCCGGGGAGCTGGCGAGCTGTCTGGACTGGTGAAGGATGGGACTTTGGGTCTGCAGCCTGCATGTCAGCCTTTCGGCAGTTGCGGCTCTGTGCTTGTTTTGATGGTGT